TATTGTAAAGCTTAAGCTTCTTCTTAGAAAGTGTCTTAGCTAACATATCTATTATATTATCATCAGTATGAACTTTTTTCAATAGCATTTGTTGTTCCTCAATCACCGAACATATCCAATGATATCTAAAATCAATGTGCTTTATTCTAGCATGGTATATGACATTTCATCCAAAGCATTTTTTTACCTGCTTTGGTTGCTACAATATATTCAATCTCTGTAATTGACAAAACAACACACTTCTGTAACTTAAACTGCCAAGATATAGCTTCTTTTACAAAAATGAACAAATATTTTGAAGTAGATTTTCTACCATCAATATCACCTGCCATATCAGCATCAATAAACGTTTTTAAAACTAGTTGTAAAACTTCATAACTCAAGTACATTTTTGAAATATCTCTTAAATATCTGAAAATCTATTTTATTGCTTTCCAGTGAACCTTTCTCAAATTAGAAAAAAATCTACTCACTGTACCAACTGTATAAGTAATGTCAAATCATGTATAAATTATAAGATACATTAAAGAACCGACTGTAAAAAAATAAAGAATATTAAACATAGCTAATTACTCTTTTTTAGTTATCGAATAAGATTTTTTACTCAGATAAAAATAGTTGGTAAATGGACTACTAATTGATTTAGCATGTTGCATGTTGAATCTACTAAACACCCATTCAACATATTTTTTTTGTGACAACCATAATTTTTTTGCTTTCATATTTCGGATAATGTCTATACTAAGAATATGCTTTGCTGGACCTAAATTCTTTATGTTAAAAGACTTAGACAATTGTTCTTTCATCTTATAAACTATATTAACATCTTATCCTACAATCAATATATTATCAACATATAATAAAAGAATAATGAAGTTACCATCAAAAAATTTTTTGACATACATAAAAAGATCCGTTATAGTTCTTTTATAATTGTAGCTCATCATAAAATAATCAAACTTTTTATACAATTATCGTAGAGCTTGTTTCAAGTCATAGAAGCTTTTCTTCAATTTGCAAACTAAGTGTTTTTTCCCTTTCACTTAAAAAAAAACACTCAGGCTAATTTATATAAATGTCCTCTTACAAGTCACCATACAAGAATGCAGTCTTTATGTCAAGTTACTCAAGCTCAATATTCAAACTAGCTGCTAATCCTAGTACCACTTGAATGAAACTCATCTTCACAACTGAAGAGAAGATCTCATTAAAATCAATGCTTGATTTTTAAGAAAACCCTTTTACCACCAATCGAGCTTTATACCTTACTAGTTTATCTTCATCTTTTTTCAACTTGAACACCCGTTTATTCTTCAATAGCCTCCTTTCTTTCGAAAGTTTAATAAGATTATATGTACTATTTTTTTGTAATGACTCTATCTCTTCTTTCATTACTTTTAACCAATGCTCTCTATCCAAAATAGCTTACACATTTTGGAAGCTTTTTGACTCTTTTTCTCTGGTAACTAAAATAAAATTTAAACTTGGATACTTGATAGATGTCCTATGCTCTTTAGTAAATCTCTTATATTGAGACTCTACACCACTTGATGTAAAAAATAGCTCTCATTTTTTAACATTCTCTGGTGGAGAGGATTGCTCATTATGTTTAACATATTTAAATAGAAAGAATTGATCCCCTTGCTTAAAACTGATTGCATCTGGCTCATCACTAACTGTGGCTAGCTTATTCATGTCTCTAAGTTTTGTTTTTTGCTCATTTTCTATCACTTGTGGCTCTTTCTTATAAAACCTCCATCAGTGTTGAAACATCACACTCAACAATAACCCGTGTAATTTTTTTATTTTTCTCGAGATCTGTTATGATTTTTTTCATGAAAGATCACAATTTTACTTCTGACTATCTTTCTTTTCACTGAATCTTATACCCTGTAACCAAATTTCTCATTACTATATCCTACAAACACATACTGTGTGGCTTTACTGTCAAGCTTTGACTTCTATTTTTTTAGCACATGCATAAATGCTTTACACCCAAAAATTTTTAAGTGAGAGTATGAAGCATATTTTTTTATCCACACTCTTTCTAGAATGTCAAAACCCAAAGGAACTAATGATGATCTGTTAAGTAAATAACAAGCTGTGTTAACTCTTCACCCTAGAATGACTTTGATAATTTTACCATCCTCATGATGCAATTTATCTTTTCAACTACACCATTATACTATGATATTTTAGGTTCTGTTATCTCATGTCTGATCTCATACTTTGAACAATACTCTTCAAAGTCTTTGGATATGTATTTCCTATCATTATCAATTCAAACACACTTTAAGGGTAGCTCTGTCATCTTTTCCACTGTAGTATGAAGTTTTTAAAAATACTGTAATATCTGACTTTTATTTTTCAACATATACACTCAAGTCTTACGTAAAACATTATCAATAAAAGTAATAAAATACTTACTACCACCTAATAACTTAACTTCAATAGGACCACATATTTTAGAATAAATCAATTCCAATCTATTTTCTTTTTTTTAGAACTATTATGAAAAGAAACTCTACAATGCTTACTAAACAAATAATGATTATATGAATTGAGAGAATACCTTTGGGTAAAGGAATGAGAGACTTCAATATCAAAACTTATAACCCTTTCTTGCTCATATGTGCCAGTCTCTTATGCGACAAGCTTGCTGAAACATTATCCTTAATGATAATTATCTTGTTTCTATTCAATTGCATCTATATCTTGTATATTATGCAATATAATTTTTTTTTTTGCAACTACCATAGATCTTTTGAGAAGCTTCCACTGTTCATTTTTTTGTTGACTCTCATATCCGTCTTTATCAAAAACATTAATAGCAAGCAAGTTTATTCTCATATCCAAAACGTGTCTGATATCCCTCAAAATTAATATGTAGCATGTGCTAGTTTATATAACAATATCACTAATTCTAACAATCTATCACACACCTATATTTTTCATCTTAGTGCAACCAAAATCTCATGTATTATAAGTTGTAAATAAATCTTTTTTAGGAATACAATGATATGCCATTCTTATGTCAATTATCCACTCAATACTTAGATCACCGTAAAATTACAATCACTATGTGTACAAATTAAAGTAACTGAATTATTATTTAAATTCACTATTGCAATATTGTTAGCATCTGAACTCTTATCTTTCTCATCTTTTCGCTTTTTCTTTAAGATTTACAGTATCATTTTATATGACCTGCTTCACCATAATGAAAATACTTCATTTTATCTCAGGACTTGGATCTATGTTTAGACTTACTACGACCTTTTAAGTTCTGACCATTGTCGATGTTGTTACTCATGTTCTCTATTATTAGAGCTTGATTCCCAATGTCTAAATCTTTTCACCTTATTTTTTCATTAAGCATATTGTCATTTACCATCTCCAATCTCATCTTGTAATCAAGAGTTGAATTAAGAACAGTCATAACTAGAGTATTCTAACTATTTGCAATGAACTCAAAAGAAATAATGCATTTATTTCATCATCCATCTTAGGCTTCATAGTAGTCATCTGATTAAATATATCTTAAAAATCATTCAAGTGCTCTATAATCAATTGTACATCCATGTATTGTAAAGTTGTAAGCTTTTTAACAAGCATAACTTTATTCATATCTATTTTTCTCCCATACAATACTGTTAATTTTCCTCAAACAGTATAAACATCTATCCTTGCGCTATATAATGGAACATGCTGATATCAACCTATTTTTTTATCGTAACCAGCGTCTTTCTGCCTAATTTTTTCAGCTTTCATCTTTCATATCTGCTAGTTTAGTGGAATCATCCAATATCGACTCATACAAATTTTTATAGTATAAATGATCTTTTATTATAGGCTTCCAAATTGAATAATTTGATATTGATAATTTTATTATGAAACCTGTATCACCTTCCATGATCTCAAACAGAATTTACTTATGTTTTAAACTGCTTTTGTATTGATGTCTTAAAATAACCTTTACTCTAATACTATTTGTTGGGCCTGAAGCAATAAACACAACAACGTAAAAGTAATATATTGTAATAAATCTACAATAATAGACAACAATCAACAATCAATAACACAAGTAAAATAAAGCACACCAAGATTTACATGAAAAACTTTTCAGTGTAGAGGAAAAAAATTACGGACCACCAAAAAAAAAACTTCACTATCAAATAATAGATATACAAAGTTCTTCTCTGGCTAAAACTAGAATTAATCAATAACTAAAGAGATAATTGAAGAAATCTTATCAAATAGGTGACTCAACAAATACATCATAGATTTGTTCTTAAAGAGCTTTAAATCCGATTTTCACCGTTTAAAATGTAAAACTTTGAATTATAAACCTACTGATAAAATTTTAACTCAATTAAACTGTGGATCGACTTCGTTCAACAAACTCTCTCTTTTTCATTTTCTTTTTTTTTTCTGGCTTTTTTTTTTTTACTTTTCTTTTCTTGATTTGTGGTGCCATCTTATTTTTCACCTTAAAATAGCCTCCAACTCTTTTTATTAAATAGGTAAGATTTTATGTAATAAAAAAGACTAAGATATATGACTTTTGATTGGTCTAAAATTAATTATATGGAGTTGGACTCTATTTTCTAATAGATGAAATTCCAAAATGATGTCAAAAAAATATGTTTTAAAATTTAATAAAAATTTATATAAATTTAATAAAAATAAAAAATATATATATTACATTAATAATATCAACATAAATTATAATATAATAATTTTTATATTTTATACCTACCACAAAATAAATGATAATCTAAGAGACTAATTTAAAACAATTTTTTTTCAACGTTTTCTTCTACTTGAAGCAGTAGTAATCATGTTTATCATTAAAACGTTCGAAAGTTAAATCATCTTTGAAAAAGTAATATTAGTACATGTGGATTATCTTCGCTTTTGATTACCAACCTTTTCTCTGGGGTTTTTTTTCTTTGATGATAGAGTTTGTTATTTGGGACTCCCCACAAGTACAACAAGAAACAGACAAAGATTGCCATTTTATGAAAAGGTGCATTTGATAATAGTTGTCAGTGTAAGAATTAAATTATACAGACAGAAGCACATGCCCTCATTATTCTTTTCTTCTTATTTCCTACATTTGGTTCCATTTTTCGAGGCTTCTTTGTCTTTATTCTGAGTTGCTTATTCTTTGAGTCTTTTTAGTCTGTTTTCCAATGGATTATTGAGGCTGCCCATGCCAGCTGCCAGGCTATGGTGTGCTTAAAGAATGTGTGCCGATGTGGTAGCTTTCTGGTAATTCAAGTTCCAGTCTCCTTGTTTTGAAAATTTAACGGGTGAATCAATAGTAGATGCTTAAAAACAAGACGCTGAGGTATGCAAGTTTTGTCCTTTTGATCTGGAAAAATGTTCAGCCATTTGTTTTTATTTCACCTTCGATTATTGTTTCTCGAATTTGATTTGGCTGGTATTGATTTTTTTATAGAATGTGCATTTCATAATTGCATCACTTCCTTGCTTTTTTTTTTTTTTTCGTTTTTGGGTATTGCTATGATTTGTCATTCTGTTTTTTGCTTCAGATATGCTTCAATTTTGGTTTTTTGTCATGTAAATAGATTGGAGAGATGGCTTCTTCAATTCCTGCTCTTGGAATCTCAGTCTCGTTTGGTAGATTTGAGAATGATTCACTTTCTTGGGAGAAATGGTCATCTTTCTTGCCAAATAAGTACTTGGAGGAGGTTGAGAAGTGTGCGACTACCGGATCAGTAGCTAAGAAAAAGGCTTACTTTGAAGAACATTACAAGAAGATTGCTGCAAGAAAAGCTGAGCTACAGGCTCAGCATAAGCCAATGGAAAGTAAATCTTTGAACTCAGATGATCAAAATTGTGGAGATCTGGTTGGTAAATCTAATGGTCGGTGCTCAGATGAAGGAGAAAAGCAAGAAACTAAGTTGGTAATTGAGGTTGCTGATGAGCAGAATGAGGAGCCTGAAATTGCAACGGAATGTCAAAACTCATCGGTTGAGAGAGTGAAAGAGAAAATAGATAGTGCAGTGGGAAGTCCAATGTTAAACAAACCAGAAGACACTGTTCCAGATGAAGCGGCTTTGGTAAAACAAGAAGTGGAAACTCTTTCCAAGGGGTCTCAAGATGTGAAGGAGTTACCACAGAAATCAGAAATGGGCATAGAAAAAACTACAAAAATCAAAGATAAAAATATAAAGTTGGGTCATTCGAAAAAATCTCATAAGGTGAGTTTATCATTATCATCGTCATCATCGTCATCATCATCATATTTTTTAACTGATTTGTTATATTGGAAAATTTGACTCAACTGAAATTGTTGTGTATCTCTTCAAATTCTGGCATATGATGCTTTCTTCTTTCATTTTGATAGTCTAGATTTCATCAGTGGATAAGGAAAGGAATGGTACAAGGATAAAGAAGAAACCCGCCTCCCCTGTGACTAAAACACCACATTTTTCTACATCTAGAGCATCAAAGCCATCGTCAACTCCTACTACATCATCTGCATCAAGAACTCCATCAAAAACGGGAAATACTTTATCTTATTTTTTACCAAAGAGCAAGAATCCTTCTGTGGGAAAAAGCAAGAAATTGGCTCCTAGATCCTTGCACATGTCCTTTAGTTTTCGTCCCTCAGGTTCTGACCCAGCTTCCCTTGCTGCTGCTGCAACAAGAAAATCTTTAATTATGGAGAAAATGGGGGATAAGGACATTTTCAAACGAGCATTTAAGACATTTCAGAGTAATTATAACCAATTCAAACCTTCCAGTCAGGAACAATCTCCAGCAACAAAACAGGTACCATGTTATCATTTTAATCCTTAAGGTCTACCTGACATATCTATTCCTACTATTTAAATTCACATTCATGGAGCTTTTGTTTCAAATTTTCTTGCAGGTGCCTGCAAAGGGGAGAGAACCAAGGTTTTCCACTTTGATTGCTCCACAAAAGGAGAATGGAGGGTAAGTTTCTGAGTTTAAAGATTTTGGTTGACAAATGCATACATGCTTGCATTGGTGGAATTGCATGCTAGTTGAGTCCTGGTATGGATTTGATGTTGGATACAGTCTATATGTCCTGCTATCTTTTATTTTTTTGGATAAATAGGTATTTGCTTTCATCTACCGCATTCACATTAAACCTATTTTTGAAGCTTAAACTATTTCCTGTGTCAAAACTAATATTAATTGGGTAAAGACAGTGTGGAAAATATGAAAAAGCAATCATTCAGCATTCAGCATGTGAGAATTCAAATATCATGTGTAGGATATAATGATTTTAGGTTCTCAAGTATGTAGCATGTGGGCTAACCTACTATTTTATTGTCATTTTCATTTTTCTTTACTTCTCAAATGCTACTTTAGTTATTTTTTATGGATTAGCTCATATTTGAAGGTAATAAATCATCATGCTGTGAGTCTAAAAGGATTTGCACATAATTGAAGGGAGTTTGAAAGAGAGTTATTGAGCAATGGCTATGCATGTAAAAGTCTATATGTGAAGTTAAGAGGATTGTGCTCGGTCTTTTTCTCCTATCAATTGTGTTTCCCATTTTTTCCAACCGAAGTACTAATTATTGTATGATTACCACGCTTTGTCATTTCTGTTGATCCTTTTTTGCTCCCTCCCTCTTTTTTCTGCATCATTTCTTTTTGAGGCTGAAAGTACAAAAGACAAAAGGGTAGTTGCTTGTGGGAGGGGAGGACGAATTGGGGATTGAACCGTTAACAAGTTTTTATTTGTAGGATCACTTGATACTTAACGAAGTGGACAATACCACTTGAAATGAACATTTTTGTTAGAAAACTCATTTACTTTAAGCAAAATTAGCTTCTTTATGGCCTTTTATTACAGGCCTGCAAGACCTTGCCTTAATTTAAAATTCATACCATCAGCTTCTCGACTTCTTTCTGAGGAAGTGGGAATAATTCTTAAAATATCAATTCCAGTACTTATAAGCAGAAGTTATGCATGTGCCCAAGGCCTCCGTCATCTTGAAAATTCTTCACTGTTGCATTAATTGATTTATAACAGGTCTTCTAGAGTTAGTAGTATGGAGAAAAAGAATGCAAGAATGCAAAGGCTGCTCCATCTTATTTTGGCTTGAAAGGCGATGAAAGAACAGAGAGAAGAAAGGAGGTATGCAATGAAGATTCCTTGCTCTTGCCTTTTGTATCAGGTGCACAATTTCTTTTGACATTGATGTACATTGTTTGTCTTTAGTTAGAATCTCAGCATCTCATATCCTTTATTTCAGTTCTCCAAGAAATTGGAAGAAAAATCCAATGTTAGAGAACCTGAGAGAAAATATCTCCAGACAAAATCAGAGGTACCATTAATTTTCTTTGGTGAAGACAGGTCTTCCTATTCTTGCCATCAACTTGATACAGCTCCACATGCTCATAAAGTCTAATAATGGATCAAACATAACATAAGATGGGTAAATCTGACAGGCATTTTGGTTTTCAGATTCTAAGAGAGAAAATTCATCACTCTCAGAATAAACATACTAGCATATGATTACCTAATTTAGACAATGGGCATTGCTCAACACTATATGATTGATACAGGATAACAGAGATGCAGAGATCAAAAAATTAAGGCAGAGCCTTAATTTTAAAGCTACCCCCTACCTTGTTTTTGTCACGGACAGAGAACATCAAAAGGTCCTCTTGATAAGGTATTTTTCTTGTTTTCAATTTCACATGGTTTGCCTGTGATCCAACATGAAACTTTTAAAGCCAATCATCTTAAAGCATACTTTTCCATCACCTGCTGAGGCATATGTATAAAACTTCCATGCATTTTCCTTTCACTTTGGTCAAAAATTAGTTTGTCAATGCCTACATTTTTGCAATTTTATATTTTGATCATGCCTGTACTTTTGTTATTTTAATTACAGTGCTTAATGTGGAAATCTTTTTTCTTAACCTCATCATGACAATTTTATATCTTTGTAAGTTATACAGAAGCTTTCTAAAAGAGGTATCATAATCATGTTACATTATATATCCTACGGTAATTTAATCCATCGAAGCTTAGTTCAGAATTTTTTTCCCATGATAAACCAGCTTTTTTAAGCCTTTTCATATCTTTAATTTCACAGATAGGTACCAAGAGTGACATCCATTGGTAACCTGGCTTCCTTGGGTCAATGAACCACGCATCATGTACAAGTACCTAGGAAAAAGCAAGAATGTTTAATATGAAAAACAGTTGGAAAAGAGACGCAAGAAATACATCAGCTTTGAAGGCAAACTAAATCGCTGGGCAAGGGAAGGTATATTTGAAGGCATGTTTTGATTCAGGACCCATGCTATGATATTGTTGGCTTATTTGGTAACCCATCTAGAATCTGTCATTGATGAGTCACATGCTGTGGATTTAAATGCCTCAATCTTGTCGTCAAGGTGGGGTGTTCCTATAATGGTGCAGGAGAAATAGAAGAGGTTGGGGCTTTTCCACTTTTGATTGAACTGTTAGTTCCCTTACTTTTCCCCACCATACAGCGGAAGAAAACTATATTGTAGCTATTCACATGCACAATGAACATTCTGATGGTAGTATGTAAAAAAAAAAAAACAGTGATTGAAGTTGTGTTTATTGAATTCGTATCTGTGATTGGAATTTAATTTTTAATTATTAAATGTGGAAGGAAAGAACCACTGAAAATGCTTATTTATGTACCGAATCCTGCTTGACAATTTAGATTGAATCAACCAAAGTTCCAGCAACAGCCCTTTTTGTTTGAGATCGTTTTCCATGATTTTTGCATAGGATCTAGTGCTAAGAACAGCAATCAATCAAACTTGCAATCTTGCTGAGCAGCTGAGATTAACTCGAGCATGTTTCAAGTTCCAACTTCCAAGAATGACCTAGGACTAGGATTTTTGCCTGGAATCTCAACTAAGCATCAACAGTGACTAATCCAAAACAGTCTGTTGAACAATCTTAATCTGAAGTCAAGGTGCGGATCTTCCTTGTTTTGAGCAAAGTCCATCTAATTTAACAGCCTTACTGAGTCAGATGCTGCCAACTACCATAAACCAAGTCTCTTTCCAATGGTACTACATTCCTGTTATAAAATGTATGAAATCATGTATGAAAACGTAGGCCGTGACAGGAGACTGCCACGTAAATACAACTCAGACAAAACATTATCATCAGCTTGAGTTTCAGGCCTCACAAACAAGATATTTTTGTTCAAGAGTTCATATTCTAAGGAGTTTACCATTGCACAATTCCTGTTATAGGAAGTGGCAGCATCGAGTCCATGGTGTATCATTACCAATTTACCAGCCTTTTTGGTTCTTTACGATTATTTCCTGCCAACTGGTGACCACTATTTAATATCTAGCTTTGGGCCGTTGGCAAGAACCACTACTCTTGTTTTAGATCATGGTTGTGTTACATTGTAGCTATCATGACACTGACATAGTTGAGACTCAACAACTCTTTCCTCCCAGAGCGGAAAAAACTAGAAATAAACAAAGCAAGTATGGATTCGCCATCTTTTCATAGGAGATTTATAATTTAACAGCCAATGTGGGAACTGATAGTGACACAAATGGCTATGTATTTCTTTGACATTCCACCGCTGAAATTGAGACATGAGATGTACAGCTTTGGTGATACTACATGATGAGGTGATATCATACTTGACACGCACCTAACTCCCCAAAAAAACTGATTATGCAAAAAATTTAAGTGGAGTGATGGCAGAATTCCTGTTTAATTTCATTGACCAAACAATGAAGTTTGACATATGGATCAACTAATTGATTCTTTGCATGGTAAGTCATAGTTAGTTCTAACTTCTGAATTTTTTACATTATCATTATCATTAACATATCCTGACAGATTTACATAATCTAATATTAGGTTCACTGATGCATGATCTTTTGTAGCTGCACACTTGAATACAAAATTTCTTAATACCATGGTCCATTCTTTCTGTTTGATCATGTAAATCAGTCTTCTTATTTTTTGAACTTTTAAGTCCAAAAATCGTATGCTTTTCCCGGTGCTTACTCAATGGAACAAGTTTGAATCAGAAAAATCAGACTTCAATATATTTACCTATTCGTATTTGGTACAAAACAAATGGAAGAATTCAAAAATCATTTTGCTTTTCTTGATCCGAATATAGAATTTGTCTATGAAGTTTATGTACACTGCCTTTGTGATGAAGACCTGTTCATTTTCATGAACCTACATCCGATTCGCTAGAATTGCTCTTGGACTTGCCTTTCATGAAATTTGCAGGCAAGATTGGGAACCTCATTTTGGTTCTTGATTCTTGTGAATTTGGTGATTGTGATCCATAATCTGCCGTTAATGACTTCCTCCTTTGCTGATTCCTAGCTATTTCTACACAGACCAGGTCGACCATACTTAGAAAGTCTCTAACTATAACAAATATTTGGAAAGGATCCATTGAAGCCCCTGTTTCGTAATACTCTGTGGTTCTTTTTACAAGATCCATCACTCTTTTTTGCCCCTCTCTTATAACCTTTAGTTCCTCTTCAGCATCATCAATAAACCCTTCCATTTCTTGCACAAATCCCCCTTTTCCATCGGCTGCACATTGCAACACAAGCTGTTTAATTTCTTCCACACGAGCAGTAAGAGCTGAACAAGTGCCAGAGAATGTGATGAAATTTATTGTGGCTGCTTTCTTCACATTAGTGAACTCAGCACTGAGGCCTCCTACTACTGGTAAGCCAAGCATTATATATTCCTTCTCTCTGTCCTCTTTTGATGTTGAATGATCAGAGCTACTATTGCTGCTTCGGCTGCCACTGCGACTCAGGTTACGACTTCTGCTGACAAAACATTTCTTTCCTTCAGACCGGACTACTTCTTCTACCACAAAGTGGAGTAGAGTAGTCTTTTGATCAGTGCTTTTAACGTCAGAGAGCTTAAGTAGAGATGTAAGGTTAAAAGCTTGAGCATTCCCTCGGGCAGTTCCAGCATTCATGCGATTGCCAGCCTTGAGTATTGCTTCCAGGAGTTTCATAAACAGTCTTTGAGAGCGAAGCTCCTTGCATCCTAACTCTAGTGTTTGTAAAGACTCCTTCATGTGGAGAATTTCCGAGTCATAGTTTGATCTAAATTGCATGGCATTAAGACGAGTGAAGGCTGATGGAATAGCTTTTAAAATGTGCAGCAAAAAGGATTCAGCATCGGCAAGTCTTGATGGATCTCCATCCAAATCAAGGATTTGGGATTGTTCCTCTTCTGTGGGGGCAATTCTCATGAGCTTTTCAACAGTATCTGCCTCAAGCCCTTGGCCTTCATTTAGGGCTTCAAGGAGTTCCCTACGAGAGAGAGCCAGAGATTTGAGCACAATTGCTATGTTCTGGGATTTTCGGGCATCAAGCACCATGATTTGTGATGATGAGCTAGTGTTAGTACTCTTTGTATTCTTTGAATTACTACTACTAGTAGGGGATTTCCTATTTGTTGCAACATATCCAAATAAAGCTTCCATAAGATCATCATCAAACCTGAAGAATCAATTGAAAAAAAGTCTCAAAATCAGTAAAACAAAACATTGCTTTTTTTGGTCAGAACAAGCATAAATTTGGCATAAAATTTGAGAAAGAGTATAATTGAACTTACTTAAAAGACCCGCCATTGATTTTGTCCCACACCATCGGATTATCAACGTTCTTGTTCACCTTATCCCAGCGCAATGGCTTCAATTTGACCTCATTATTTCCATTTTCTGTGGCACTCTCTGCAGAAGACTCCCCTGGAGGAGGTTTCAAAGACATAGCTGAACCACCCACTTTATTAGGAGGCGGAGGTGGTGGGGCAGGTCTTTTTACTGGAACTAGCAGAGGTGCAGGAGTTCTATTTGCTGGAGCTGGTGGAGGTGGAGGCTGAGGTGTAACTGTACTTTTATTGCTTTGAATTGGTAACAAAGGTGGTGGGATTAGGGGTTGTGGAGGTGGCATTGATGCTGGAGGCAAAATTTTTGATTGAACCGTTGCATCCGTTTTCGCAACATTTTTTAGGACAATCCCATGAGACGGGGAAGGGGGTAGAGGACCAATATTTTCACTTGAATCATCATCTTCAGCTGGTGGAACATGGGAAGTGGAAGACTTCCCACGAAACAGAAGAATTTCTTGTACAGGTTTTACCTTCTTGCTTCGACATCCTTTTCGAACCATTCCTCCTCCTCCTTCATCCTTTTGACCATGCAAAATCTCTTTATGAAACCCGTTCTTGTTTTCTCCGTCTGGAAGCTGTCTCCAATAAATCACATCCAAACCATTCTCATCTACAATTAACCCCTTTATATTGCCATTAACTCTTGCAAACTCATCTGGAGGCACTCTAGGCTGACCTTCCTGGAAACTATCCCCAACTCTCTCTCTTTTGCGCTGTGCAAGAACATATCTTCTAATGAAAAAGAAGAATACCCCTGCAATAACTACAGTGCTTGCAGCAGTTGCAGCGACTGCCTTTGCAATAGTACTATTGGTGTCATTCGAAGAAGATGATGGTGATCGGGGCGGCGGTTGTGAATCTGGTAGTCTTGCAGAACTTGGAAAAAAACTTGAAGGTTTTGGTGAAATTGGTTCTGGAGCAGGAGATGGAGTTTCAATTGGGTAGAAAACTTCAATATTTTGAGGAGAACCTTGGGAATAAGCGAAAGGTAAGACAGAGATGAAAAACACAACCACCAGGTTGAGACAAATCAGTGTCTGAGACTGAAACTTGACAGCCATGAAAGAGTTGGATAGTGGGGAAAATCAGAGCAAAATAAATGTTTTGGTTTGCTCAATATTGAGGAATGAAATATTACCTTTTGGTTTTGGTAAACAACGCCGCTTACACTTTAGAAAAGTAGTTGCTCGTTTTACATTTTTGTTCCTTCCCGGGCTTCCACATTGAGGAGGGTTTTGTTTCATGGAATTTAATATTTTTGAAGGGAAAATGACATTTTCTTGAATCACTTTATTTGATAGATTTTGCATAAATTTAGATTGACTTTGTTTATTTTAGTTGTGTCTGATCAGGAAAATGTATAATTAACTAATAATATCTTTTATTACATTATTGTTAATTATATTATTAGCTGATGTCACATGAATAATATATGATAAATAATTATATTTAAATTACTTAGTTATTTATTTAATTTGTAAATGATTTAATTAATATTTTATGAAATTAATAAAAAAATAAAAATTATTAAAATTATTTATTTAACATATAAATTATGAAAATATATTATATATTTATCTTAAAAATGTAATCAATATTGAAAATAAAAAATATTAAAAAATAATTATTTTTATAATAAATTACGTTATATATTTAAAAAACGAAATTTTTTTAAATTTTTTTGGATAAAGAGAAAATACTATATTTTTTTAGACAAAGACAAATGATGTATACTGTTTAAAATGTTTTCGACTTCTATGAAGACATGCACTTAATTAATGAGATATTATTCATTTTAACTCGAAAGTCTCATAATTTTATTTCATAAAAAATATCTCACAAGCATAAGTTTAAATTTTTACTTATATATCATAACAGATCTTTAGAATATATTGATGTGAGATTGGGGTGTCACAAACTTTCTATAATAAAACTTGACATCTATGTCAAACTCAACACAAAACACATACAAAATCATAAAACTGGAATTACATCAGACTTTGAGATTTTAAAGGTAGCTCATATTGTGTAGCACTTAACTTCTTCTAGAATCTGTTTGATTAGTAAATTGGTTATGATACCATTTGTGGAAACCTATATCTAACTTGTAAGGTGTTATCTATTTTGACCTGAATATCTCATTTAACTCTCTATTTATATATAATAGCAAATTTTTAAAATATCTCAATGTAAGATTAGGATTTCACAGCTTCAATATTTATAAGCATATGCTTCATTTGGGTTTATAGAGTAAGTTACTTTCCAAATGTGAAAGTTAAGAGATGGGCTAGGATTGGATTGTTCCTTACTAAACTTTGGTTGAGCTTTTACTAGGGACGGCAACCAAGCCCGTCCTCGACGGGTTTCGGCCCGACCCGACCCTATAGGGTCGGGTTTTTTTTTTTTAATTTCGAGTTTCGGGTCGGGGTCGGGTCGGGTAAATTAGATAATAATCGGGGTCGGGTCGGTGTCGGGTCTACCTAAAACCCGACCCTACCCCGACCCGACATTATTAAAAAATTATTTTTTAATTAATTAATTAATTATTTATATATATATTTATATAATGATATTTTTAAATATTTATATTTAAAAAATAATATTTTATATTTTAAAAAATAATATTTGATATTTTATAAAATAATATTTTATTAATTTCGGGTCGGATCGGGTCGGGTACGGTTTACATATTGTCGGATCGGGTCGGGTTAGGATATTAAAAAAATTCGGGTCGGAGTCGGGTTTAATGAAACATGAAATCGGGTCGGGTTCGGGGCGAGCAAAACCCGACCCGATGCCATCCCTAGCTTTTACTACTATCTCACTCTAATAAAATTTGAGTAGAGTTTAATCTTTATACTTAATTTGTGAGGGCCATCTGGAATTGGTTCGACACTATTTTCTTCAAGTAGCTTCATCTAATTTACAGAATCTGAGTTAGATTGCAAGAAAAGGTGATAATTTGCATTGGATTGTTAAGGATTTTCTAAAATCATAGGCTTTTCAATTATGATAATAAAGATAGTCTTATCAATTAAGGCTTAAAGTATAATCATATAGAAAAAATAACTTTTTTAAAAAAATACATAGTTTTTCTTTTTAGATTTTTTAAAAATTAATCATTAGAAAAAGATTATTGGGATTATGATAACTCTTATATCACTTACAAAGTAAAAAGCTTTAATCAATTAACCATCCAAGCCAACGAAAATAAAACTAAACAATCAATCAATCACACAAGAGATAATAATTTAACATAATTTGACCCAATTGACTTACGTCCGTGAATAAAAAAAAGGATTCACTATTTGTAGATAATAACAAATATACAATCATTTCAACAACTCAACAATTAATACCTATAGACCATCTCAATCTTCTCTAATCTTATGAAATATTTTTAACTCAAACAAATATATACCCATATGCACTTATACACCATACCTATATGGACTCTCTTATTTTCCTCTAGTCCACTCAAATATATATACCCATAAAGATATTATTCTCCTGTAATCATATGAGAGTTTACCCAATAAATTCTTATAACTCTTTTATATTTTTTTTCATATCTAACAATATAGAGATTTCACCTATAATACAAAATTGCCTATAAAAAATTTTTTTTCTCTTAGAATTCTTTTTTTACAAGTCTTTTTATCCATCAAATAATATATTGCCAATCTCTAACAAATTTGTTATAAGATTTGAGTCATTATTTCTAATAATCTCAACATTGACTCAGATTCTATCAATTATCAATTTTATGCTAGACATGCTTAGCTTCACTTGTAATAGAACTCGTAATAATCTTTTCTTATATCCCCACGCTTCATGCAAATCAATCTTAAAAACAAGAATTCAAACTTTTCTCTTGAATCAAGCTCTTCTTGGCTTATCTCTTTTCATATCTCAAACATTCAACTCTAATGCCATTTATTGGGACCATGATAGCTTTGATACCACTTATTAGGTAAAAAGCTCCAATCAATTAACCATCCAAACCAATGGAAGTAGAACCAAATAATCAATCAATCACATAAGATATAGTAATTTAACATGGTTTGACTCAATTGACTTACGTCCACGGATGAAAAAAAAGATTCACTAGTTATAGAGAATTACAAACATACAATTATATCAACCATTCAACAATTAATAGCCATAGACTATCTCAATCTTCTCTAATCCTATAAAAAATTCTCAACCCAAACAAACACATACTCATATGCACTCATGCACTATATCTATATGAACTTTCTTATTCTACTTTAGTTCACTCAAATATACACATCCATAAGAACGTTAATCTCATGTAGTCTAAGATTTCTACCTAATAAAATCTTACAATTCTTTTACATTTTTTTTCATATATAAAAATGTAAAGATTTTACTTATTTATAAGTATACAAAGTTGCCTATCAAGAATTTCTTTTCTTTTAGTTAGAATTCTTCTTCTACAAGTTTTTTTATCCATCAAGTAACATCTTGTCAATCTCTAACAAATCTCTTATGAGATTTAAATCACTATTCTCAACAAAAATAACGTTTATATTTTAAAAACGTGGTTTAAGTTTTAAAAATTTTCTTGTAAATAGTTGTTATTTAATAATAGACACATTTTTTTAATGTAATCTATATGGAAATTTTTACAATTTATGTTTTTATTATGTTTTTCATCTTAAAAATGTAATTTTTTTTTTGAAATTATAGCATTTTAAAAAATAATTTTTTTCAAGATTTTATATTTTCAACATAAACTTCGTTTTTTACTTAAAAACATAGTTTATATGAAAACAGTAATTTTTAAAATAATTACTTTTTATTTACTTTGTAATTTTAAGAGATTAAAAAAGATAATATAATTTGAAAACATAATTAAGTGGGGGCAAATGATGAAAAATTTTTACTTTTCCTTCTAAATGTAAAAAAACTTCAAGGAGATGAGAGTTTTTTATTCACATTTATTTTTTTATTTTTTGACACTATTAGGAATATTGGAAACTATAGGAATCAAATTTTGTTAACCAAATTAAGAAATAAAATTATAAAAAGTAAGATTCCAACCAAAAATCTTACTTTTTCCTTAACCAAACCACCCTTAAGGGTGCGTTTAGATGAGATATTTCAAGAAAAGATTTCATTTGTAGGAATTCTTAAAATTTTAAAATAAAATTACCTTATTTGACAAAATTAAAATTAAAATTATCAAAATACTTAGAATTTGAATAAAAAATTTAGGAGGGCTTAATTTTTTTTCTTCAAATTCCACCTCCTTTGAAATTTTTTGATTTTATAATAAAAAGTCTTTTTTTTTTTGCAACTTTTTTTTTTATTTTAACTAAAAAAATTCATTTTAAAATTTTTTTAAATTTTCATATTATTAGTAATATCTATACCTTTTTACAAACATAGTGATATCCATGCTACATTTTTTTTTTAGTATTTTACGTTTTCTATCTCTAATATCATTATTTTTTATTATAATTATTTTTTATTTAATCAAATTTCAATATTTAAAATTTCTTTTTAAAATAATCATCCAAACAAAGCAATTAGAAACTCTGTTGTTTTGAATTGATGCATTTTAAAATGTTAGCATTTCAAAATTTTTTTAAATTTTAAAAATTTTCATCCAACTATACCTTAAGCTTCGACTTAATCCTCTTTTCACCTATTCAAAACTAGGATTTGGAATTTTGAATTTTTCTTAACACTAGGATTATTTTATTTTTTCCCAATAATTTTAAGTTATATTATTTTACATCAACTTAGATTCATTTAGAATTTTATTTTCAATTTTTCGTAAGGAGTGAATCTTTGATTAAAAAAAGAATTCCTCTCTTTATTATTTAAACTAATTTGTGTGAATAATTTTGAAAATTTTTTCGAGTAGTAGTAATAATATTTTTATAAAAGAATTATAATATAAAAATTAAAAAAAACAGATATTGAAGTTGAAAAATTGTATAAATTAAATAAGCTAAACTCAGATTCAGTAACAATAATATACTAAGGACAGCTGTGCAAGGGGACTGCGGAGAAAAATGGTTGTTTACCGTTTCAGAACAATTGAATCAGTAAATCATAAAAACCTCGGTTATTACCTTTGATATACGTAACCAAAATAAGTCAGAGAAGGCGATGTCAGAATTTAGGATTGTAGTTTTGTAATGAAAGGTTCTCCTCCACAATTTCTGACCACCAAAAACCAAATATGGATGACCTTCGTTAATTTACAATGTGAAAATTGAAATTGTATAAACTAATTTGGCGAATTTTACGTCATCTTCATCTGACAAAAACAACTCCACACGCGGTCTGGGGCCTTTCTCTCGATAATCAGTCAAAACCTATACAGATTCTCTTTCTGTTGTACCTTGACTTTTTTTTTAGATATCATAAATTCGATGTACAATTTGCAAAACTGTGTTAGAAATTAGAATGAGAATTAAAAAAAAAAAAGGTTAAATTTAGTTTGGTTGGTTTTTTTTTAAATTTTTTGTTATTTGTTTTAAATTTTTTATTTTTTATTAAAAATAACAAATAAAATGAATTCTGAGCTTTTTTTTTTTCTTTCTTTATTGAGTAATTGATACATGAAGGTCGTTGGAGCCTTGCAAGGGTGGTGGGGGGTTAAGTGAGGGCAATGGCCAAAAGTATTTTTGGTTGACTAACTGACAAAAAGCAATGGAGTCAAGACCAGAATTTAAGTTAGAAAACAGCTAAGCCCAAACGGCAAGCGCAAGGCTCACCCAACTTCTATGAAGTTTTACTGTTTATATTTAAAAGCCGAAAACAAGGAACTTTTACCATCATAATCATGGACCGTGTTGAAGGTGGAACGTTCCAATATTTAGTCAACCATACATATTTTCCGTTTCCACACTGTATGAATAGGCTTGAATGAAAATTCAACTCTTTTGGCAAGAAAATTTGTTTTCTTAATTTTAATATATTAATTAAATTTAATAATTTTAAATATAATATAATAATATAATTTAAAATTTTAATAAAAATTTATTTTATATTTATCGTATTAATATAAATTATAATTTTCTAAATTTATGTTTTATATATATTTAATATAATTTAATATTAATATAAAAGAAAGAAACTAGGGTTTTTTTTTTTTCTTTTCATTGTTTTGTTTTTCTTAAATACTTATTTGTTTGCATTGTTCTAGTCATCTAGATAAAAATTGAAGCCAAGTAAAGGAAATGTCAGATATAATTACCATTGTGTGTCTAATCGTCCTGCTCTCTCTCTCTTTTTTGCAGTTCAATTAAGTTCAACAAATGGCGTTTACTCTTCCTTTTGGTTTGTATGTCCTTTTCATTGCTTTAATTCTCTTTTATTTCGTGGGGGTATTCATACATTGTCTTCGAAAGTGGATGACCACCGTATCTTTGCTACCCAGTTCACACGGAGATGAGGAAAGGCACTGACCTTACGTTTTTATGTCATGATGTCAACATCAATGAAAGAGGTTTATCCTCTGTTATTTTCTCCTTTTATTATTTTTTTTCTTATGGGTCTATAAGATATCATAATGGAGTCAAACTATTGCACCCCCGAGATGGGGGTCATCCCAACAATTTGTGCTTAGCCCAGGCCCAGTTAGCAGGGCGATATACTTCGATCCCTTCTCTTGAGGGGTGGACAAAAAAGGCAGAAGCTGCAAAACTAAGGAAGATATAAAAAAAAAAAAAAATAGACGAAACTTCTATCCATGGTATTTAAAAACCTTGAATAAATATTAATCTATTGTTAATTGGCAAAGCTATAAAAGATCTTTGTCACCTACCAACAAAGCAATTTTCTTTTTTTTTTCTTCACGTTTACTGGATTTGACCCATTGCAATTATCAATTATAAGAGATAAATTATCAAATACATAATAGAGTTTTTTTTTTTAATTGTATAAACAGATAAATAAGATGATACATATTTTTTAAAATATATTTTAAAATAAAAAAAAATTAATTAAAAAGAACATATATCATTCTAGTAATTATGAAATTAAAAATTTTCACTAATAATACATTAAATATATTTTTTTTTGAAAAAAAAAGTTTTTGGCGTATCTCTTTTTCTAGGCTGAGGCATCAGTTTGAGCATATCTCTTTTTCTCTTGTGCATTCTCAAAAGATATTCGGAGAAAGTTTTTATACTAAGAGCTTCTGGGGAGTTGAGTTCAAGTGGATTATTTAGAATCTAAAGGCAAAGACCTTGTAGCTGTCTTTTTGAGCAAGAACATGAGGAAGTTTGGCGGTGCATGCATTGGTGCTGTTCTTCCAGCTATTAGAATCTTACAGGCGATTACTGTTTTATAATTTAATTAGTTGTCTCATCCTGTAAATGTTGTTGATAGCTCTATTAATAGCTTCATCTAACAATATATTATTTTTATTCACATGATTTTTTAAATGTAACACGTGACTTTTCTTCCGCTGCTTTACAGTTTTACTCAAAGATTTTACCCTCTGAACTTTTCTCAAATTCCACATTTTGCAATGTTTTTCCTCTTCTAAAAAATAAATAAATAAATAAGTAAATAAACATTCTTAAAATCAGGAGGGGAAATTACATAATCCTTATTCAGATCCCAAAATCTATTCATGTTTTTCCTCCATCAAAATTGTATTCGTTTCTTACATGTTCGGCCAACATAAAAAATCAAATCGAAAACCCTTTCCTCTACTGGACAAACTCAAGAACTACTGGACAAACTCAAGAACAAAACAACGCTTCATATTTACATTTTTACAAACAATGAGACATCATTGCTTCCATGGAATCTCTCATGGTCTCAATTATAAACTTTTTTTTTTTCTCGTGTTTACTTCAGTCTTAGAAATTGTTGAGAAATACCTTTTATTTTTATTTTCATTTTTTCCCACATTTTCTGACAACATGAATCGAATCTCTAGGAGGTGTCGTCCTTTGCCAGCTCACCCGGCATCATCAACTGAGGTTGAGGACAATCCAGCCACCAAGCCAACGCCGCCACCGGTTGTGGTCGTCATGGGTCTTCCCCTAAACTGCTTGGTACTTTATTAGAAGTTGAGGTTCGAGATCTGCGACTCAGTTTCCATTATTTATTTCCATTTAGACGAAAAACTTTGAATGGTTCCACAAAATAAGTTGGAAAAGCTGGCTGCAGGATCATTCTGCACTAACAAAGTAGTTAGCAGGGATCATCCAGCTTATTATAGGGTTTAGGGAAAACCACATGAATTGTACAAATTGTTGGCTTGACTGTTGAGGCAGAGAGGAAAACAGAGAAAAATGGGAATCCCTGAACCAACATTAGCAAAAAGTGAGAATCCTCTCTATCGCTGGGCTGTTGAAGCAGAAAGGAAAACAAAGAAAAGACTGAAATTGGAGGCGAGTGTTCTTTTCATATTTCTTCATTCCTTCAATTCGGGCTGCAAAAAGTGTGAGCCAATCAATCTTAGTCTCTTCTCTAATTTTCCTAATTTAGATCTCCAAACTCTGATTCTAAAGTTTCATTTCCCAATGTTTTATTTCATTTCACACTATTAAAACAATACCATTAAAAAAATGATACTAAAAATCTGCAACAACATGCAGGATTTCACACTAGTATGTAATAATTGGAATATCAAGTTAAAAACTCTCATTTGCCTCCACTTGTTCTAAAACGTGTTGTTAAATAACATGTGTTCATCTTGTTTCTTTGGACAATGACAATTTTAAGCTAAAGGGGAAAATAAAAAAAAAAAAAAAGGAATAAAACTTCAATTTGGGTCGGCTAGCAACTATAATGGAAAAAGACAGAAAATAGAAGACGGGCTAACTGGATATGTTCTAATGTTTTGGGCCCAACGAGGGTCCGTAAACAGAACATTCCACCTCAGGCAGTGAGGCACAAATTTATTTGTCCTCCAGTGTATGCTTTACTCATGGAATTATCATAACAATAAGACGTTTTTCTTTTGAAATAATTTCTTTTTTTTTTTTTTGCCAATTCTTTTTCTCCTTTTTAAATACTCCATAAAATGTTAATTCTTCTTCTAGTAACACTATTACCTCAAGGATAGAATTTTTTTTCTTTCTAAACGTACGAGTATAGAAATACTTGCATATCCAATACTCGTTTATTATATTTTTATAATTATTCAATCACAATTAAGAATTATCTAAAAATTCATAATTTATAAATCCACAAAATTACTATAAAACCTTTGATATAATTTAAATATAACCACAATTTTAAATGAAACGTGATTTATTAATGAAAAATTAGATTCATGTTATTTAAATATTTAAAACAAAATTTATTTACTATTTGTTAGTTAAGATTTTATAATTGTGGATAAAGCATGTCAAGATTTTATAATAACTCGTCAGGACCGAATTTATGAGATTAAAAACTATAATAAATATATTATTTTTAAATTTTGATTTAATAAATTTATTTTTATTAATAAAAATATATTTTACAATTTAAATTTGTGATTGTAGTTAAAGCATATCAAGATTCCGTGTTAATTACCATGAAATCAAATCCTTGAGATCACGACTTTGAGACTAAAGACGCACTTTTAGACCAATTAAATTAATCCTGGATCCTCCTCTCTTTTAACCTTACGTGGATCCAGGACAAATGCAGCCCCTCTCTCCCGTGCTAAAGTTGTATGAACTCAAATTGTAGGGTCCGAAGATCTATATCCAGGATCAGCAATGCCCAATAGCTGTGGGGAAGTAACTGGGGGGTGGGGACTAATCTGCCTTTGACAGCCAAGCATATAATGCAAATCAAAAGAGAGACAGCCAGACAACAGTGGCAGTTATCCATCCCTACCTAGCCCCTTCTTCAGGGAACAACACCGCCAACACTCTCCCATGCCACAGTCTTATCCCCTGCCAAATATTCCCAGCTCCTTCTAGCAGACAACAAGATCATGCCCCTCTTCCCATCCAATCAATTCATATCATATTCGCATCATTTTTTTCAAACTCAAAACCCAAACCCATCCGAAGAGGCTTCATATGCGAACAAAAAAAAGATTAGTTTAATCAGAATTAGGATTTGTAACTGGATTTTGTTCCATTATAAATTAACAAAAATAGTACAAAAATATGCAAGACGACAAAATAGAAAGGCTTGATTGATTGCAGGGGTAGCGCTTTGCTTTCTAAAAACTTTTCTATTCTGAGCTTGTCATTTTGAGACGTCTGGTGGGAGAATCTAGTGATGAGGGAGAACATGGTGCTGTTGCCGATAGAATTGAAGGTGATAGGGATGGGGATTGTGACTGTGATGATGGAGATGATGATGACAAAATGGACGGCGGTGATAAGGAGAGATCACAGCTGTCTCTTAACTTTCTCTTGTTGATTCCTCTTCCTCTTTCTCTTTCTCCCACTCTGAAATCTCTCGTCATATAATCTTTTATACGTTTAACATCAGACAATTTCACAGGTTTCACTATAAAATCCTCTGCTCCTTCCTCTAAGCATCTGTTCATAAAAAATTCAGATAAACCCCTCAATTATCGATTATTTTGGACTGATATAAAAAAAAAAAACAATTACCCAATTTTCATGTATTCAATACATGAAAGCTATTAAAATACCTGTCAATTCGAGCTAAAACATTCTCAGATGACATGATTACAACTGGGATTTCTCTAAAAGCAGAAGATTCCTGTTAAAAATAAGAAATTTTAGATAACAGCAAGCCCAGATTCAAATACCAGTGACAGTTTTGAAAGAAAATGGAAATCAGAAATTTCAGGTTTCTAACCTTAATTTTTTTCAGCAATTCGTAGCCGGTCATTCCAGGCATGCAATAATCGGTGATAATCAGATCAACCTTTAAACCCTGAAATCACAAACAAAGCTAAGAGTCAGCTGAAATCACCTTTCCAAAACAACTGCTATAATTTTGTGACAATTCCAAGTATACTCACGTCAAGACCATTACTTTCTTTCTCCTCATCCAATCCCAGGAATTGCAAAGCTCTCCTTCCACTATCCACTGCCGTAACTGCACCAATACAAACCAAACTCGTTCAATTCAAATCCAAAGAAGAAAAGCATAACAAAGTAAAATGCAAAAACTATGGGAAAAAAATGGAAATCATGGTATCACGATGACTAACCTTTACATGAGGAAATTCTGAGCAACCTTTCAATGACTTTACGATCAACGTGGCTGTCATCAACGGCAAGGACATGAACTTCCTCGGTATCAGAAGGTGAAAGATCAAAGCTTTCAATCTTCTCCGTCCTCCTCCGCCACGTAACGGCTCCGTTTCTCGCCATCTCAAGGAGACAACAACAAAACACTAAGACAGGAGCCAAATTTCTCTTGAGAAAATATTAAAGAAGAAAAAAAAGCCTTTGAAAGAACGAAAGAGAAGAAAAAAGAAAGATCCACTTTATTAGAAGGCGAGGCAAAAACAGGGTTTCCCTTGTTATGTGGCCTTGCTTTTATACGCTGTAATGTACAATGTCTATCTGTATCTGTCTCATTCATTTACAGTTTCATTTTTCATTTTTTAATTTTATTAAAATTTGTTTTTCTCTCTCAAATCAAATCTTTCTCTCTCTAAAAAATCCCCGCAATCCACTTTTTTTTTTTTTTAGTACAAAGGCTTTTTAATAGTCGCTGGGATTCTAAAATCTACTTTGGTGCCGCTTGCCTCTCCGATATCTCGCTTTGAGGATCATTTTATCGTGGGGAGAGAGAAATTGGTCAAAAATCTCGGGATACGTGCCAGCAAATGGTCGGGATCGAGGAGGAAAGTTGACTGGACGTCAATGGAGGGCCGCGCCGTCAAAGACAACGCTGCTCCGAACCGGCGGCATAAAAAAAGAGGTAAAAAATGTTTTTTAACTCTTTGAAAAATTCTAGCAAAAAATAATTCGATCTTCGAAAAAGTGGAAAACATTGGACAACCGCATCTTTACTATTCCTGGACGGGCATGGTGATTTTTATTTTTATTTTTTTAAATAATTAATTTTAACATTTTTCACTCCCTCGTTACTTAGCTCACACGTGCCACCACGCGTTCTGTTTACGTTTTTTTCTTTTACTTGTTCAAAATTTTTTTATTTGATTTGATGATAGATTTTTGTCTTTTAAAATCTATTAAAGGAATGGGATTAAGTTTTATGAGATAAAAAAATAACGATTTAGATAAAATTAAATATTTGAAATCGTGAAATTAAATATTATATGATAAAATTAAAATTAATAATAAAAATATATATTTATAATACAATTTTTAACCGGACCAACCCGTTGTCTATTGACTTTTTTTATTTAAATTAGGAAGCTTTGTTCATTTGTATTTGCCCATTTAAATTGAAAAAGAAAAACTTAAATAAGCTTCACTTGATATATGACATCTTAATAGAGATTTTCTTTTGAATAAAAATTAATGCAAAGATGATTATTAATTCCAATTTATGTTCACTATTAATGAGCTGTTTCTTTGTTTACTTTTTTATTTTTCTTTTGATGGATCATTTTTATTATTTTTATTTCAATAATTTTAACTATTTAATTATTCATTATATATTTATTTGTTACATTGAAGGTGTAAAATAACTTGAAAACCTTTTAAAATAAATTGAAAAATAAACTAATAAAATGAAAAAAAAAAACAATAGGAGAGTTAACATACAAGAATAAATAATTTTAACAGCCTCTAAACCAAAAAAAAATTGAAAAATAATTAACTAAAACAAAAAATGAAATAAGGAAAGGGGTAATTTTGAAAAATTATTTATACTTATATTACTTTATCAATAATTTTAAAAATTTTAGTAAATAAATTTATTGTTTTTATATTCATTATTTATATAATTTTCATTCATTGAACATGTAATAACAAAAATAAGTAGATCAAACCTGAACTTGGCATTTATAGGTATTAACCAAATCAGACCCAACTTAATTTGGTTCATGAATACTTTTATATTACATTTTTTATGATAAGTTTATACCATATTTCAATTTTAAGAATAAAATAAACTTATCTTTGGGTCTAACAATTTGGTTTTGGACAAGAATTTTGTAGTGTAAATTTGATTTATGAAAATATTTTATTATAAAATAATTTTAAAATATATTTAAAAATATAAAAATATTAATAATTAATAATAAATTTAAATGGACTGAAATGAAAAATCTCATCTTGAATAAGTTTTCAATATGATCCATGAATATTTTTTTAAAAAATATATATTTCAAAATCATGGTCAAAACTTGTGTTTATTTTTAATTGACTTTGGGTTTAGTTCTTGAATTGAGATGTGAAATTAAATTAATTGGTTTATTTATTTGAATAAGTAAGTAAACTAATTGATAATAATGACTAAATAAATTTCTTAGTTTTATTAACAGGGTGTTAGCTAGGGTAAAAGAAAAAGAGATATAAGATTTAGATTGTAGGGATAAGGACATGAACTGAGGTCATCCATGGCATAAGGGAACATTAAAAAAGATTAGTATCGGAATTGAAATGGTTGCCAGAAGCCAACACGACAAGTGAGAGAATGAGAAGATATGGGAGTCCCAAAGAAATCTGGGAGTGGGGACCAACAAAGCCTTCCCTCTTTTTTTATGCTTGGACTTTTCCTACGATTTTCAAAACTTTCAGACACTGCACATCAAATCTTGGAGATCGCCTTGAATTGTCTTTCCAATGAAGATTCCTCCCGCTCTTCCCTCGCCAATCGCCACCCGACCCTTCCACTTCCAGGTTTAAAACAAATTTGACAAGTTCACTGCTATGGCCAAATCTGTTCTCACAAGCGACGTGACGTTTTCTCATTCCAATTCTTTACCTCGAGCCAAGCCGCCGTGTGCGCTGTAAAAATTGTTCCGTGAGTACACAGAACAGAACTCTGATTTACCCAAGGTAAATTTGAGACGGAACCCCTGGAAAATTCTCTGCTTTTGCTTTTCAGAGATATCTTTCTAGTTGCTTTAATGCTATTGCTATTGAGTCAACCGAATGATTCCACCCAAGGCCAACCACGTGGTAATGAGTAATTTTTTACTTGATTGAAGTCTTTCAAGTTTACCACTATCGCCAGACATGCGAATCAGTCATTATTCATCTACAAATTGAGTGAGGTTGGTGAGATTTTACCCGATTCATATTTGCTTAACTCCAAAATCCAAATTGAATTCCCTCCAATTGCTGCCTTGAAAATTTTTTTCTGCCCTCTTGTTAATACTAATAAAAAGATTCATATCGGTACCTTTTTATAAACCTATATCTTCTTCTTTAATCATTATCACGGGCTGCGTATCCTATACCAAAACTCACCATATCCGGAAGTACTAAGTACATGCTACCAACTATCTTTCTACCTTTTTGTTCCTTTCGATAGATCATAACGAAATAAAGGGTCTCCACTCGCTCGCTTGCATACCATTTGGATTTTGCTTTAGATAACAAGTGTTATTCTCGAGGGCATTTGATAGTCAAAGTGATATAATAATTTTTTTTTATGTTATGAGCTTTCAATAAATAATCAGAAATAATTTTGATATTTATGTCATATTAAGTTGATTTATTATATTTAGTGTCACATCAATTCGATATTATTTTTATTATTTTTTAATGATCCCTCATTATTTATTTATAAATATGAAGGTCTAAGCATCATTAAAGTAAGTTCATTCTACTCTTAATTTTTTTATTACTTTCATTCTGACCTCACATATTCTAACTTGTGCATTAGAGTACAAACGTAGAGAACACTCTTTACTTTTAACTCTAACCGTCATTCTTTTATTTTCAAATGCATCATGATATCGAAGCTTGACACAAACATTTGGTGCATCAAGTAAGGGCCTCCTTTTTTACTCACTAGCCAAACACGAAACAATGATACTAAAGAAAAGAGAGATGGCCATCTCAACCGGAATAGAAACACATAATAGTTAACACTTAGAATGACCTCCTCTACCAAAAACAGGCCCTACTATGGAACAATTCTAGTCATTGACCGAGTAGATCCAGGCTCTTAAATAGATATTGCAGACTATAATCTCACCGTAAACTTTGAAAGTGCTTGACCTAATTACCCTTGGCAGAGAAGTCGCAGTAAGATAGCCAAGTTACGAAGAAATGGAAGCCTCTTCGACCTCAAGAGAAGAGGAGCATAACACATCCATTCGTCATTACCCTAACTACAGCTCGACGCATGTCACAACTCAAAATTTCAAATAGACAAACTTCGAACCCCAACAAAATAACGATTTAAAAGCTTGGATGCGAGCCATAAAAAAAGAGCTGAAAACAAAAGCAGTGACATTCGAGGATAAGCTTAAGTTCATGAAAAACTCACCTTTTATTGAAAAAATTGACAAAGCCATACCTTTCAAAAGGTTTAAAATGTCGACTTTAGAAATATATAATAGTACTTTTGACCTCTTTGATCATTTAAAACTTTATAGGACCAACATGATGATGCAGGGTACAAATAAAACCCTGATGTACAAAGACCTTGCTATTATTTTAAAGGGGTGTAGCTTAGTTAAGGTACAATAACCTAGAACCGAGGTTGATTACATCATTTAAAAAGCTTAGCCACTATTTCTATCCTGATTTGTAAGTAGTAAAAAAGTGAAAAAGATAACTCTGAGCTTAATGTCATCCATCAAGGTCGTAATGAATCTTTGAAAAGCTATGTCACACATTTTAATGCAAAAGCTTTGTAGGTCAAAGACTTGGAGCAAATAAGCTGTTGTAGCCATCCTAACAATTAGACTTAATAATAAAAAGTACCATTTGAAGTTAATCTTCTCGTTAGAATCACCTAAAACTCTAGCTGATGTCCTATTTATAGCTAAGAAATATATAAATACCAAAGCTATAATGAGAAACAACCAACGTGAGAGAGGTTTATCCCTTATTCTCGGTGGTTGAGGTGAGAGAGGCTTATCTCTCTTCTTAATTATAAAAAAGGTAAGAATTTCTATGATCCTCCCCTAAGAGGAAAACGACATAAGACTAGAAGTCGTAGTGGTAAAAGAAACTACACTGCACTAAATACCTCTTGAAAGAGGATTCTAATGCAAATTGAAGAAAATCTTAACCTCAAGTGACTAAAGTAATTGAGATAGAACACATGAAAAGATTCGACCAAAAAATGTACCTTTCATAAGTGTAAGCCATAACATCGAAGACTATGTTGACCTAAAAACTGAGATCGAAGCTTTGATAATAAGGGGTCAGTTGAAAAGGTTTGTAAAATAACAAAAATAAGGCCAACCCAAAACGAATTATAAACAATATTGAAAAGAGCCCACCCGAAGCAAAGAGAAATGGCCAAAAAATGAAAGAAAAACAGTTTGAAGAGATGAATCAAGGTAAGAAAAGGTTCGAACTAATAATAATAGGTCGATCGCTGAAGTGATCAGTGTGATCACTAGAGGCAGCTCAACCTTGGCCAAAAGAAAGTTCAATCCAGGCATAGTCATGGCCGTAAGCACTTTAACCGAGAAAGAAAAAGATTGAAAAGATGAATCGATTTTA